TAGAGACAGGGTTTTACCGTGTTAGCCAGGATGGTCTTGATGTCCTGACTCATGATCCACCTGCCTCAGCCTGACAAAGTGCTGATATTACAGGTGTGAGTCACCGTGTCTTAAGTCTACTATTGACTTAAGACGTTTTATGAATTCTTGATGTAATTGAGATTTCTTTGAATCCAGACAAATATTATCTGATAGGAAATTGTGATAATTAGAATATTCAACTTGATTCATGAGACAAAATTTGTGAACCCCCCCTAATTTGCTGAATTCTGATTGCTGCATAGATGTAAAAAAAAAACCCAAAAACTTGAATGAATGCCATTGAAAAGATGATATTCCTTATTATATTGAAGTAAACATTTATTTAAAATATAAGTAAAACTATATAGCAAAATTTGCATCTTTTCTAAAATAATTGTGCTAGAAGTGTCAGAACTCTAATTAACTGAATACTTCTTTGAGCAGTTTGCAAGTCTGTCTAAAACTGTAATTCCCAAGGTTTTGTTTTTGTTCTTTGGATAGGGATGGATTGCTACTAATAAATTCCTTCAGAATTCGATCAAAGCTGCAGATTGCTTTTGTTAGAAAAAGCATTTATGTATATTCACAGAACTTTTTTTAGAAGGAGCAGAGACCCCTTTTAGGCTCTCTGTGTGCCCCAGGTTATGAACTTTTGTTATGAAATCTTCACTAACAGTAAATGCTTTTTTTGTTTCTTGTGTTTAGGGTCCGACATAGCTGAAGTGATGCTGGATTTCATTGACTGGCTGACCCACCAAGAGTTTGGCCGAAAGTGTGTGGTCAGTATCAGAGATATCCTGTCCTGGGTCAACTTCATGAACAAAATGGGGGAGGAAGCTGCTTCGAAAAGGCCTGAGAGCATCTCCACTGTGACATCTTTTGTCCATGCTGCATGCCTGGTGTACATAGATGGAATAGGTTCAGGTATGTTGTCTGGTAGCTGGGTAGAGGGGCATAGAAAAAGGAGGCCCAGGCCTCTGACCCGTCTGTTTTATACAGTCAGTTAGCTGGACATTTCCAAAACTCAGAATAGCTTTCCTTTTCTTTGTGCTCTTTGAAAGGTGGTTGGCACACAAGATATGTATGCTACAGCTTCTCAAAGCTTATAAACCAGGTACTTAACAAATGTGAAGTGGTGATTATGAGTAAAGACTGCTGAAAATGTCCTTCCTTCTGAAGCACTGGCTACTTCTTTTTTTAAAAAAATTTATTAAGTTCTGGAATGCATGTACAGAATGTGCAGGTTTGTTACCTAGATATACTTGTGCCATGGTGGTTTGGTGCACCCATCAACCCAACATGTAGGTTTTAAGCCTCGCATACATTAGGTATTTGTCCTAATGCTCTTCCTCCCCTTGCCCTCCATCCCTCAACAGGCCCCAGGGTGTGAGGGTCCCCTCCTTGTGTCCATGCGTTCTCATTATTCAGCTCCCACTTAAGAGTGAGAACATGCAGTGTTTGGTTTTCTGTTCCTGTTTTAGTTTGCTGAGGATGATGGTTTCCAGCTTTATCCATGTCCCTGCAAAGGACATGAACTCATTCTTTTTTATGGCTGCATAGTATTCCATTGTGTATATGTGCCACATTTTCTTTATCCAGTCTATCATTGATGTGCATTCGGGTTGGTTCCAAGTCTTTGCTACTGTGAATAGAAGCACTGGCTAATTTTTAACATGAATTGTCATTTTTTGATAATGGGCCTGAATATTTTGTTTTAATGTCATAATAATCACTATGATTTGGTTTTTCAGTCATTAAGATTTGAAATATAAATCAACATGGTTACTAGTGCCATATTAGGTACTCTTCTAGGCTGACTTATCATTGAGTGACTAGAGTACTTTACTGAATGAGCTGCTGCTTAATTGATTGGGGGTGGGTGGGTGTCAGACTTCTTCTGTAGGACTGCTTACGCTAGAAATCACATTTAGGCTGCAGTTTTGCCGAGGCCTATTTTTTCCAGGAACCCGTACTAGAGCTCCTGCTGAATGGTGGTAAAGCTTGGTGTTGTGCTGTTGCGTCATGGACTGACCCTCTGTCTTTTAGGGGTAACTTCGTCTGGTTTTGGTACAGCCCTCTTGGCACGAAAAGAGTGTCTGAAATTTCTAATCAAGAGGCTTGCCAAGATAGTACGACTTACAGAATATCAGAAAAATGAATTGAAGATTTATGACAGAATGAAGGCCAAAGAATTTACTGGGATAGATAACCTTTGGGGAATTCATCCATTTTTTATACCAAGGGGTAAGAATGATTTTTTAAAAAATGAATTTTCCTTTTCTATAGATCATAGATACTTGGCTTTTATTGTGACTTAGTTTTAATGTGTAATACTCATATTTTTGTACTAAGTGAGTTAGATTCTGGCTTGGGACTTACCATAATTGTGTAAATGGTTGAAAATACATAACTGGCATATAATAGGGGGGAATAGAGACTTCAGTCTATAAATAGATTGTCTTATACATTGCTTATCTTTTTATTAATTGGTTCCCACAATAGGAACTTTCCTTTAGTAAAGCTCTAAACTCTGCTAATGTTGACAATAAACTTTTAAGTGGCTTGTAAAGACCAATTATGCCATAATGTATCTTAATTATAGAACTATACTATAGCTTACACTTGGTTCTTAAGGAAAGTAACTATGAAGGTAAATTGTCCAAGTACATACAGTGATTCAAGGTATGGGTTGTGAAAGGAGAGGTGTGTATTTGCAATTAGACTTATGTCCATGTATGTGTATAGGAGATGGAGAGATCTGTGTAGTAGGCACAGTTGAAGAAAACGTAATATTGGCTGTTCCTATAAAGCATTTTATGGATCTAAAGGTGGAGCAATATTGAAATAGGGATTGAACATTTTCACCGCAAATGGTACCTCAGTAACTGATAGGCCACGTGGTCAATGCTGAAAATCTTGAGTTGATGTTTATATATGATTTGGTGATATCCCACTTATATATGGCTTTCCTTTTCTCCACTTAAGGACCTGTTCTACACAGGAATAATATTGCAGACTATGCACTCAGTGCAGGGACCACGGCTATGAATGCACAGAGGCTCCTAAGAGCAACAAAACTGAAGAAACCCATTCTCCTGGAGGGTTCCCCTGGTGTTGGCAAGACAAGTTTGGTGGGAGCATTAGCAAAGGCTTCAGGAAATACCCTTGTTAGGATCAACTTGTCAGAGCAAACGGTAAGTTCAGTCATCCTGCAGCTGATGGAGATAGCTATAGATAATAATGTCTGTGTCAATTTATAATTTTCTAATCAGAAAGGGTTATATTATGAGTATCCTCAAATTTTTCTTTCTTTTTTTTTGGAGACAGAGTCTCGTTCTGTTGCCCAGGCTGGAGTGCAGTGGCATGATTCTCTTGCCTCAGTCTCCTCAGTCAATAGGATTACAGATGTTTGCCACCATGCCTGGCTGATTTTTGTATTTTTAGTAGAAAATGGGTTTCATCATGTTGGCCAGGCTGGTCTCAGACTCCTTATGTCAAATGATCCAGGCCTTGGCACCTCCAAAAGTGTTGAGATTACAGATACAAGTCATGGTGCCTGGCCTGTATCCTCAAATATTTCATATCATAATAAGGACCATAGCAACATGACCTCCCAAACTAAATCATCTTTGGATTTGTTAATTGCCGACACCTAAAATATTAAATCTCTGCATGCTTTATTCGAATCCTCTTTTGAGAGAGAATTATCTATCTACTTTGGTATTTATTGTACTATAACCCTACTTAATTTTTTGCTTAAATTAAAAAAAAAAAAAAAAGAAATAAAATTACTTTCAACAATCAAAGGAAATTATGGTACAGATGACAAATTGAATGAGAATCCTTTGGAATGGGGTTTTGTTGTTTTTTTAAGCCCATCAGTTGAATTTCAAGTTCAGCCAATGTTCAGAACTATTAATCTAGAGCACCAGCTCAAATTGATTGATATGTGAGCATGTTGAGAAAGTTCTTGGGATATGTTTGGGCTCCTAGTAAACAGGGCTGGGATTGGTTAGTTCATCCTGGGTATAGGAAGGAAGAGCAGTGGTGCCAGCCCCAAGTATTTGTCATTTCAGATTTAGGGTGTTAGAATCTAGTTGATTTTTAAAGTAATACTGGCTTTTCTCCATTTCTTCCCCTTTCAAAGGACATCACAGACCTGTTTGGAGCAGATCTACCTGTTGAAGGTGGCAAGGGAGGAGAGTTTGCCTGGCGTGATGGCCCCTTACTGGCAGCTTTGAAGGCAGGCCATTGGGTGGTGTTGGATGAGGTGAGGGGCCTGTTTGTTGTGCCCAAGATGGATCATGTGTGTGAGGAGCAGTCATACTTTTCACAGCTCCAGAGCATTTCTCAGTGGATCATTCCGCTGATGACTTTTCTCTAATGAAAAGATCCTCTGTAGTTTCCTTTAAGAATAAGGAAGATCACTTGGCGGAATACACATACAGAAGCCCCTGTACATAATAAAACCTACAAACTCTTCCACTGTTTAAAGTTACCCTTCAGAGGAAAACTGCATTGTCACTAGTTTAGTCTCTGGCAGGCTTGTTGTTTCTGCATTTATTTCAGAGGCATTTTACAAAGAGTGTCAACCACCTCATGTTTTATTAGTGCACCGGAAAGACCGAGGAAAGTCATACAAAATGACCTACCAAAATGAGAAAATGATCAGTTATAAGTGCATATTGGGTAAATTATTCATCAGAAGGAAGAGCAGAGCATAAAACATGCTAAATACTGAATCTCTGACAGCTAGTGATATGGAGCTGGGTCATTTTGGGGTGTACAGCATTCAGGAAAAGGCTAGAAATATTTGTGCAGCTAAAATCATTTGAGTAATGTGTCACATGTGAGACTTTGTACACAGGCTGCAACAGGTTCCCCAGGTTCAGACTTCTGGGTCCAAACATCAGAGAGGGTGCTGTGGGACTCCTGTTGCTGAGCTTTCTGCCTTTTATTCTTGGGATAACAAGGAGAAGGAATTTTTTTTTTCCTTTTTTCAGACTTTTTTTTTT